TGTCATGGCTCAGGTAAGGTCATTCCAGGTATACAATCCAGGCAACTTGTCTTAGTATACAGAGGCCACATCTCCAGGCTAGGCGCTCTCCCCTAACAGTTGACCTTAGCTCCTTCCCTGATGGCTTCATGCCAGAACACTGGAATATGCCAGAACTCTCTGGAAGCAGAACTTTGTGCTCCAACACTTCCTTCTGCTTTCTTTTACTCCTGTGCCTTTATTACATTTCTGCAAAAACTTAAACTTCTCAACACATATTTTAGATTCAGATGTATTTTATGAAATAAATACATAACTACAAATTGATCCCGTCCTTCCCAACTTTTCCAAAACAGTTCCTTTTGGGGCTGAAGATTTTGGATCGCTCGTGTGTCTGATGTGGGGTGCCAGGAAGGTCTCCCAAGTCAGGCCTTGCTAGGTTCCACGAGAACAGTTCCCTAGCTCGTTCCTGGGGACCAGGGCGTCGACGCCTGTGCCTCCCAACCCGACTCCTCCACCTGTTCTCATCCTCCTTTGTGCATTCAGTCTTCCCAGAGCATGTGCTGTCTTAGTCCATTTGGGTTGCTTGTCACAAAATGCCATCACTGGGCAGCAGATAAACAACCAAAACAGATCTCGTCATCCCCAAAGGCTGGAAATCCAAGATCAGGGTGTCAGAAGATTTGGAATCTGGTGAAGCAACCCCTCTCTTTGTCCTCGCATGGTGGGAGTGGCGAGGGAACTCTCTGGGCCTATTCCATAAGAGCACTAATCCCATTCATGGGGGCTTCACTTTCATGGTGTCATCACCTTCCAAAGCCCCCACATCCTGGTACCAGCACCTTGGGGGTGAGGATTTCAACATGAGAATTTTCGGGGACTCGAACATTCAGTCTGTGCCGTGTGTGTGTGTTTGTGGCACCATGCTGTGTGCAGAGCGTCCAGCAGTGGGCACTGCACATGCATTCCTTGTCTTGGAGCACTCTTCCTGTCTTTTTGACTCTTAGGCGCTTGATGAAGAATCTCCGTCTAGTTACTGTGGTCTTTATCGATGTACCTTTGTTATAGGCTGGGGAGGCTGGGATAAAGCCGTTCTACAAAATTCACAGATGTCCCAAGGTTCCTCCTGCAGGGATGAGTACCTCTTCTTTGCGATTCTGCCAGCCTCTGTTTCTTGTAATTATTTCCAAAAGCTAGATTTACAGTGTGCCATAGCTTTGGGTGGGCTCAGAACACTTGACTCAGTCTAACGTTCTCATCGGACATGTGTCTCTTCAGATCCCTCTCCCCCCCACCCCGCCCCATGGCTAGCGGGCTGTGCTGCCCCAGGGTCCTGGGCCATGTCCACTTGAGCAGCGTGAGCTTGATCTTGCTCCTGCTCCATGAGGGCTTTCCCTCTGGAGGCCAGTTTGGCAACAGACGTTCGCCTCCCATCTAAGTGAGATGTTTTCTATGGGTAACGTCTCTCTAGTATCTCCAGTTCTAATTGTAGACATTGTATCTACCCGCTCTGAAGCAGTTGGGAATTTTTGGAGAGAGAGAAAAGCAGACATCAGTCTACTTACTGTCTTACAGGGTCAGGGGTTGTGATTGGAATCCTGCAGCTGCCCCTGGACTTGAGCCAAATGTGTGTGGCGCACCTGACCTAGAGTTGGCCTATGTTCTGGAAGCCTCATCATAGCTTTACCTTATCTCTCTGCTAGTATGACCAGAGGTCTCCATCCAGGCAAAACAGTCACTGGGTTGCATTTGTAATATGAAGAGTTTTCAACAGAAGAAGTAACATTTCATGTCTTGTTATCATTATTTTTTTTATATTTTAGAGACAGGGTCTCACTCCACTGCTATGCTGGGGTCAGTGGCATGATCGTGGCTCACTGCAGCCTTGATCTCCTAGGCTGAAGCAGTCCTCCCACTTCAGCCTACTGAGTAGTTGCGACTAGAGGTGTGCGCTACCATGCATGACTAATTTTTTAAATTTTTTTTGTAGAAATAGAGTCTTGCTGTGTTGTCCAAGCTGGTCTCAAACTCCTGACCTCAAGCAGTCTTCCCACCTCAACCTCCTAAAATGCTGTGATTACAGGCATGAACTACCATGCCCAGCTAATTTTTTTTTTTTAAGAGAACAGACTTTCATTCAAATCCAAGTCATGGTGTGGCGCACGCGCGCGCGCGCGCACACACACACACACAAAGAAAGAAAGAGAATAAACGTAAAGCCTATGTTTTTTTCCAATGTAGAAAAATTTCAAATCTTTTTTAACGTAGAAAGACTTCACATTCATATTTTGCCTCCATGAATGAGACTGTTTACAAGTGTTTGGTGTTAGAGACACTTCAACAACATTACAATACCATTAGAGCCCATTGCCAACATTTCCAAAGCCATTATGGTGGAGGAGATATTTGACTTTCTGTTCATAAGAAGTCATTGGGACATGTTACTTGTTTTTTCAAATCATTTCCAATAGTGCAGACTTGGCTGCCAGGCTGCGGGTATATTTCCTGACTTGCTATGAGGCGGCTTCTTTATAACTTGAAAGATAGTTTAATGATTTTTGCAAGTTGGTCAGATAACCTTGTTAAATGGAGGAAACAGGTGAGTATGTTTGCACAGGGTTATATGGCTTGACAAACATGTCTGAGGAGGAAATGAGTGCCTAAGCCCTAGAGAAGTGAGGTGACCTGAAGTCATAGAGTCACCAAGTGGCCAGGTGAGGATCCACTGTCCACTCACTCTCCAATACTGTGCTTTCATCAAAGTAAGTTTTTTTTTTAAATTATAAAGACATAGGGCACAAGTCAGGGTTAGGCATACAAATGTTGGTTATGCAGGTCCCCTTGTGGAGGAGGGGTGCCCCTCCCTCTCCTAGCAGTTTCCCTCAACTGCCAGTCCCACCCTCTCCTTTTTTTTTTTTTT